CATCACTGCTGCTATCATCATGCTTCTTTTGGGTTTTCTTTTTCTTTTTCATGGTTTTAGACTCCTGTTCACTCTCAGAATCTTCATTTGTTTTTTTAACACCTGTATGTTTTTTTTGGGGTTTACTCTTATGAATTGTTCCTTCTAGTTCACTCTCTGAATCATCAGAAACATCCTTACTTCTCTGCAATGGCTCATCATCACTATCATCAGATTCACTTTTAGCCTCAGGCTTCCTTGAGAGTTTACTCTTTTTCTTTGTGCTTTTAGATTCTCTTTCACTTTTTGAATCATCAGAAACATCCTGACTTCTCTGCAATGGCTCATCATCACTATCATCAGATTCACTTTTAGCCTTCAGTTTCCTTGAGGGTGTACTCTTTTTCTTTGTGCTTTTAGATTCTTCTTCACTATCTGAATCATCAGAAACATTGTCATTCTTTTTTCGCAATGGCTCATCATCATTATCATCAGATTCAATTTTAGCCTCAGGCTTCCTTGTGGGTGTACTTTTTGTTGTTGTGCTTTTAGATTCTTTTTCACTCTCTGAATCTTCAGAAACATTCTGACTCCTCTGCAATGGCTCATCATCACTATCCTCAGATGCAGTGTCAATTTGTTTCTTCATTTGCTTTTGTTTAGTTTTCTTTTTCATCTTTTTCTGGGTGAGCTTTTGCTTCTTTTCAGCTTCAGAATCTTCAGAAACATCTACAGTCTTCTTTTCACCAATGTTTTGTTTCTTCTTAGGTTTACTTTTATTTCTAATGCTCTCAAACTCTTCTTCACTCTCTGAATCTTCAGAATCATTGTCATTTTTTTTCCGCAATGGCTCATCATCACTATCATCAGATTCACTTTTAGCCTTCAGTTTCCTTGCGGGTGTACTCTCTTTCTTTGTGCTTTTAGATTCTTTTTCACTCTCTGAATCTTCAAAATCATTGTCATTTTTTTTTCGCAATGGCTCATCATCACTATCCTCAGATGCAGTGTCCATTTGTTTCTTCATTTGCTTTTGTTTAGTTTTCTTTTTCATCTTTTTCTGGGAGAGCTTTTGTTTCTTTTCTGCTTCAGAATCATCCATAGTCTTCTTTTTACCAACTTTTTGTTTCTTCTTCGGATTACTTCTATTTTCCCACTCACTTTCTGAATCATCTGAAGAATCAGCACTCAACGGTTTACTAAAAGGTTTTCTTTTCTTGGGTTTACTTTTAATCTTTGTGTTTTTAGCATCCCATTCACTATCTGAATCATCTGAAACATACACACTCTTTTTTTTACCAAATGTCATTTTCTTCTTTGCTCTACTCTTATTTTTCATTTCCTTCTCAGAATTTTCAGAATCATCTACATGTCTCTTTTTATTAACTGCTTGTTTCCTTTTTGGTGTACTTTTATTTCTTATATTTTTCTTTTTTGTTTCTTGCTCAGATTTTTTGGAAACATCTTTGTGCCTTTGTTTCAAGGGCTCGTCATCACTTTCATCAGATGCACTCTCAAGTTTATTCAAGTTTCTATCATTTTCTTGTTCCATTTCACTGTCCATGTCAGAGTCACTTTTAGACAGATGTGCCTCAGCTTTGTCATCATTTAGTAAATTCCCAACACGATCATCACTGTTTGTTTTGTTTTCATTCTCATTTTGTGCTTTTGAATTTTCATCCTCATCTGACTCCTTCTCATCACTAAACTTCTCAGATTCATCATCTTTGTTAGTAGTTTCATCTTCTTTCTCTGAACACTCCATATTATCATCAGAATTATTTACATCACTCTCCTCACCAGAAGACAGAAATGATGTTTTCTTCTTTCCCAACCTTGTTGTCTTGACAACAGGTGTGTCTACATCTTTTGAAGCTTCCTTAACAGGAGTCCCTTCTTCAGAAGTTGAACAGTCTGTAGAAAAGGCAGACAATATCAAGTGTAACTGCCAAAATTTTGCAAAATAATGGATTTGGACAGTTTAAGACTGTCAGGCCAACTTGTAACAATAGTCTATTCTTTGCAGTGGTACAACCTGAGGCATTGAAGGGAAGCCATATAAGGTTGGAGACAAAAATGCAGTGTTAATAAAAAAGTATAAAAAACATCATATTCAAAAATTCAAAATAACAACATCAAACATATTACACCCCATTGTTCACCTGTAAACAAAGTGTATCTAGTAGTAATGTCAGGGTGACTTGTGAATAACACATTTCCAAAATAATTTGTCAAATCAATGTACATCATTCAATTCATAACCTCTGAGGTACAAAATGTTCCATGTACAAAGTTTGCTTTAGAGTTTAGAAGTAATACAACTAAAGGTTTATAGGAAAACATAAAAAATCTAATTTCAATCATTAAAAGGCTTTAATTGACTTGTCAGTTTGACAATATTATGTGCAATTAGAAACATGGGTTCTAGGCATTAGTGCAGTGGCAAATAGTGAGTGGAACATGAATTCCAGGCATTAGTGCAGTGGATAATAGTGAGTGGAACATGAATTCCAGGCATTAGTGCAGTGGATAATAGTGAGTGGAACATGAATTCCAGGCATTAGTGCAGTGGATAATAGTGAGTGGAACATGAATTCCAGGCATTAGTGCAGTGGCAAATAGTGAGTGGAACATGGATTCTAGGCATTAGTGCAGTGGATAATAGTGAGTGGAACATGGATTCTAGGCATTAGTACAGTGGATAATAGTGAGTGGAACATGAATTCTAGGCATTAGTGCAGTGGATAATAGTGAGTGGAACATGAATTCCAGGCATTAGTACAGTGGCAAATAGTGAGTGGAACATGGATTCTAGGCATTAGTACAGTGTATAATAGTGAGTGGAACATGGATTCTAGGCATTAGTGCAGTGGATAATAGTGAGTGGAACATGAATTCTAGGCATTAGTGCAGTGGAAAATAGTGAGTGGAACATGAATTCTAGGCATTAACACAGAAAGTAGAACATAGATTCTAGGCATTAGTGCTGTGGCAAATAGTGAGTGGAACATGGATTCTAGGCATTAGCACATAGAAAGTAGAACATAGATTCTAGGCATTAGTGCATTGGCTAATAGTGAGTGGAACATGGATTCTAGGCATTAGCATATAGAAAGTAGAACATAGATTCTAGTAGACGAAATGGCATATAATGAGTGAAACATGCATTCTAAGCTTCATGTAAATAAGCAAAAATAATCTCACCAGCCCCATTTTCTTTTCCAACTCTTTTCTTCTTCGTAAGTTCTTCATCGTTTTCCGATACAACTACACGCTTTCTCTTACTTTTGGACGATTCAAATCCGTCATCTCTGTTTTCTTCTGAATACTTTCTCTTCAGAGGGGTGGCTTTTTTGGGACTTGGAGTATTTGCCCTGCTTTTCTTTTTAAGTGGTGTTACTGATTCCTAAACACAATAGATGAAAGGGTGTGCATGTCAGAAACTGTACTGTAGCCTTTACTGAAATTCCTTGACTATTTCCTCAAAATGTTATTCATTATTATTATTGTTGAATTTCAGTTATGCTAATATTAATTTGTTCTGTATGTTATTTCGCAAACCACATATTTTTTTCAAACATGCGTTGTGATGATCCATCATTGTTCGAACACCCTTAATGTGATTACCATCAATGTCCGAAAACACTTAGTGTGATTACCAGATGTAGATTGGTTGTAACAACTGTATAGTTCTTTAAAGTAAGCATTTAAACCTATTTTTTCATGTCTCACCTTGACTTTCTGCATGAACACACTAGTGACAACATTCTTAAACAGTGCCTTGTCCTCTCCTTCTAAAATGGAAATTCCTCTGTCTTCAAGAAACTGGCATCTGACATCCTTCATAGAAAGTGATCTATCAATTACAAGACAAGAATATCAGTTGTTTGAGCACTATTGAATTGTGGGATTATGATAGCTAAGCGTAATATATTGAACTGCCATGGTGGTGGTTAAAGGGACACAAGCTGTAATCTAAATGAACACACATGGATTATCGTAATAGATAAATTTATGGTAACTGTGAACAGCGTTCGGATTACTTTCGGTAATTCCATCGCGTTTTGGAAAGTGTTAATTTT